ACGCTCCACGACGGGCGTATTGCCGTTGCTGTTGGGGCTCGAGGATGGTGAAGTGGCAGTCTGATTAGAATCCAGGACGGGCGACAGGTTCTGCGTTGCTGTCGAGCGGGGTATACTGAATCGAGGCTGGAGTCGAAGACGTGCCAGCACGCGGTTGTACGCTCTGACAGTCGCAAGAGCGAGTCTAGGGATGGAGGGGTCTAGAGCTCGACGATCAGAAATGTATTGCTGCGCAACAGCCGCATACTCGGGGGCCACATCGTAGCTGAGCAAAAAAGCTTCGCAGTCGGACAGGCTGAGTGGGAGCGGATCCACCGGAGGCTGATCGCGTCGAGTAGGCTGCCATGTGCGATAGCCCAAAGGTGCGAGGAAACGCCGCAGCGTGACTTCTCGCCCAGCTAGCTGTCCCAATGTCTGACGAATGGAAGAGCAGGTCTGATGCAGAGCTTTCACGTCCGCAAAGTCCAAGTGCTCCACCAGCCTGGCGATCACATCAGGCGTCGTTCGCGTCCAAATGTGCTCTCCAAGGTCAGAGAACCACCGCTCTTCCGTCGTCTCTACCAGACCATCGTCTTCCTCCTCTTCTTCTTCTTCCTCTGCTCGCTGTTGCAAAGGCGAGGTAGAGCTGCCTTCCGACCCAGCAATGCTCATTGGCGGGGTGTGCGCATCTGTCTGGTACCGGCCCTTGCCTTTACCTCGCGAACCTCGCTGACCATTCTCATCCATACTGTCTCTTGGCCGCAGCACTACGTACTGCACGCATCTGCGGTGAGATACGGCCAGAGCGGGATCTGCAGTTCCAGCGCAGCTCCATCCCACTCCGAAAGTCTTGGCTGGTTTGCTCATCGTTCGCCTGTCTTTTCGAGGCTGACCTGCGGCAAGTCTAGCTTGTGTCTCTTGCATGCTCAGCTGGACGACTTCTTGCACGTGGCCTTCCGAACGAGGCGAGAGCGGTGCGGTCTGTCCGCGTGAGCCTTTCGCTACAGCTCTATCAAAGCGTGAAGTGGTGCGCTTCATCTTCTTTGGCTTTGCATCTTGCGGACAAGTGGCGGTGCCATTCACCCCCCCGACACGAATTTGACGCTCGCCGGCGGGCGACTGGAACGAGACGCTGGGGGCATGCGGAGCATCGCTCTCGGTCTGTGTAGCACCACGCATTGCGATGGGTCTAGGAGCAGCAGCATCCTGCGTAGTCGTTGCAGACGCTGATCTGCGCAATGTTGCATCTCTAGGACCCGAAGCGCTTGGCGGATGTGGTCCTCGCGCGGAAGATTTTGGTGGTGCGGCCAAGACGGAGGCCGAAGTTTGCTTGCGCAGACGTTCCTCGCGCGCAGCTAGCGCAGCCAGACGACCGCGTTCCTGCACTGCAGCAGCATCCATTTGCGCTTGCTCCATCTCCAAGCGGTGCACGAGTTCTCTCTGCATCTGCTCCCTCTCAAGCTTCTCCTTGTCTGCCTTTCGCTGCTCAGCTGCTAGTCTCCTGGCCTCTTCTGCTCGGATGGACGACTCTTGCTCCCTGGCATCCCTTTCAAAGCGCTTCGACAACCTGCCTGAATCACTCTTGGGCTTGATCAAGCTCGCGCGATCCGGTTTGGTCGGTCCGACTGCACCCTGACTGGATCGCCTGTCCTTGCTTTTGGCATTCATCGTAGGCGGACAGCTCACGTTGGGTGAGGTGCTGCCCGGTATGGAGCTATCGCGCTTCTTGGAAGAGTGCTGCTTTGCGAGCAATTGGGCTTCTGTCACGCGCGGTCGCTCAACTTCAGCTCGAGGACTTCGCTTGGAAGCCGATTGAACAAGTTGAGGTTGAGCATCTCCAAGAGGCAGAGGTCGTGAGGATTCTCGTCTCGATGCGAGTGGGTGCTGCGCGGGCGAGGCTTGCTTGG